CTGGTGTCTGTGGGATTGGGGACTGCGCCTGCATTGAGTGTCTGGCCCCTGGTGGTCATTGTGTGTCATAGCAACCAGTTGTTCCACCATTTGGTCAATTTGCATTTTAGGCTGCAAATTTCATGCACTGGCGGGGGTGTCCCTCAGCCCAGCCTGCACCCTCTCCAATCTGGGACCCCTTAGGGGATGTCTGACTGCCGGTTTAGGTCAGATCCCAACCGCTCCCCTGCCTGCCTGCCTGGTTGCCCCTAACCACTTCTGCTTCCCAGCCTGATCACCCCCTAACTGCTCCCCTGCCAGCCTGATCAATACCTAATTGCTCCCCTGATGGCCTGATCACCCAAACTGCCCTCCCCTGCCAGCCTGGTCACCCCTAACTGCCATTCCCCACAAGCCTGATCGCCCCCAACTGCCCTCCATCCCCTGCAGTCCCAGTTCCCAACTGCCCTTTCCTGGCAGCCTGATCACCCCCAACTGCCCTCCCCTGCTATCCTGGTCACCCCTAACTGCCCTCCCCTGTCGACCTGGTCACCCTAAACTGACCTCCCTGCTGACCTGGTCTCACCTAACTGCCCTCCCCTGCCAGCCTGGTCCCCCCAATTGCCCTTCCCTGCTGGCCTGGTCACCCCTAACTGTCCTGATCATCCACAACTGCCCTCACCTGCCGGCCATCTTGCGACCACATGTCATCTTGTTTGAGGATGTGATGGTCAATTTGCATATTACCTCTTTATTATATAGGACAGGTACTTCTTTGTGGCCATTTTTATTCTTTATGCCTGTGTTCCTTCTTCCCTTCCTATTTCTTCCTTTTACAGCATTCCCTTTAGCATTTCTTGTATTTCTGGTTTGGTGGTAATAAAGTCCCTTAGCTTTTTTTGTCTGTGAAGCTCCTGATTACACCTTCAATTTTGAATGATAGGCTTGCTGTGTAGAGTATTCTTGGATTCAGGCCCTCGCTTTGCATCACTTTGTATATTTTATTCCATTCCCTTCTGGCCTGATGTGTTTCTGTTGAGAAATCAGTTGATAGTCTGATGGGAGATTATTTGTAGGTAACTTTCTATCTCTCTCTGGCAGCCTTTAAGATTCATACTTTGTCGTTGGTATTTGCCAGTTTAATTGCAGTGATGTCATTTTCATTTCTTCTTTGTTCTTCTTCATTTCTTCTTGATTCTTACACATGTTGTTCAATTTGTCTTCCATCCTTTTCAGCATCCTAATGACCATTGCTTTGAATAATTTATCTGACAAATTGTTTGCCTCCATTTCATTTACTTCCTTTTCTGGTGATTTACGTGTCTCATGGGTGCTGGTCTAAGACCCCTCTCTACTGTTATGTCTGCCATGTCTCAGCTTCCTGCTAGATAGTCAGCACCATGTTGAAGCTCCTAGCAATCCACCATTCCTCTGTGTCAGATGCCACAGCGTTGATGTCAGCCAGATGGGAACACTCTGCCTGCTTTGTTTGCCTACTTTCAGTTGTATTTACAGAAGCGTCTATTGCTGACACTGTCTTTATGTGGCGATGTTTCTGTATTAGTTTCTGGGACCAAATGGCCCCTTAGTCCTGTACCCAAGGACTCCCTGGGGTATTTCTTTCTGTTTCTTGTATCATTGCTATTATTCATTTCACTTATGCATTAGCTATAATCAGTGAATATATTTTGCTATTATTTGGAACAAACTGCTCTCTGATCATTTAACAATATAAAAAATAAGATTTTTAACCTTCATTATTCCTTCTCTGATGATCTTCCTTCTTTGTAAAATGTAGGAAGGGAGAGGGAGAGAGGGATAGAAACATCAATGATGAGAGGGAATCATTGATCAGCTGCTTCCTGCAAGCCCACAACCTGAGCATGTGCCCTTAACCAGAATGGAAACTGGGATCCTTCAGTCCCATAGGCCGACACTCTATCTACTGAACCAAACCAGCTAAGGCATGATCTTCATCTTATGTAGATTGGAGTTTCTGACCTACCAATATAATTTTCTTCTTTCTAAAAAACTCCTTTTAATATTTTTACAAGGTAATAAATTCAATTTTTGTTCATCTGAGAAAGTTATTTGTCTTTCACTTTTTTAAAAAATAGATTTTTATTGCTTTCTTAGAGGGAGAGGGAGAGAAATATCAACAACGAGAGAGAATCATTGATTGGCCACCTCCTGCACACCCCCTACTGGGGATCAAGCCCGCAACCCTAGCATGTGCCCTTGACCGGAATCGGACCTGGGGCCTTTCAGTCTGCAGGCCAACATTCTATCCACTGAGGCAAACCGGCTAGGTCTCTCACTTTTGAAAGATAATTTCATAGGATACAGAATTCTAGGCTTGGTATGGTTTTATTGCCCTAACACTTTAATATTTAAGTCCACTCTTTTTGCTTGCCTGATTTCTGAGGACAAGTCAGATATGATTCTTATCATTGCTTCTTTATAGGTAAAGTGTTTTGTCTGGCTTCTTTCAAGATTTATTTTTTATCTTTGATTATCTACAGGTTAAACATAATATACCTAGGTGTTGATTTTTGTAATTTACCCTGCTTCATGTTCTCTGAGCTTCCTGGCCTGTGATTTGATATCTGACATTAATCTGGAGAAAATTATTGCTGCAACATCCTTTGTTACTTTTTGTCTTTCTTCTCCTTCGTGTATTGCCATGACAAGTATGTTATACCTTCTGTAACTGTCCCATAGTTCTTGGATATTCTATTTCTTTTTCCTCTTAGCATTTCAGTTTTGTAAGTTTCTATTGACATATCCCCAAGTTCAGAGATTCTTTCCTCAGTTGTGTACACTCTACTAATGAACCCAACAAATGCATTCTTCATTTGTCCAGTGCTTTTCATTTCTAGCATTTCTTTTTTGAGTCTTTCTTAGAATTTCCATCTCTCTGCCAACCTATTGTCTACATTTTCATTGGAACCTTGAGTATGTCAGCCATAGTTGTTTTGAATTCATGGTCTAATAATTCCAATATCTCTGCCATGTCTGTGTCTGGGTCTCTTTAAAGTTGTTATTTTCCCTTTAATACATTGTACATATTTTTGTTTAAAGGTTAACATGATGTCCTGGGTACAAGGACCTTCGGTATATGGTGGTAAAGTATGGTAGGAGGGTAAGAGTGTTATGGCTCTAGGATTAGGACTCAGTCTTTTAGTGAGCCCGCGCCTTTGGGCTGTGAACTTCACTAGTGTCTCTCAGGTCTTTTCTATCCTCACAGATTATACAGGATGGCTAGAGGGGACTGGAGTTGGGTATTTCTCTTCTCCCAGATAGGATGGGCTCTGATAAAACTCCCATAGGTTAAGGGCTGATAAAATACTTTCTCTTAAAAACAGGTCTTTAGAATAGAATGCTGTGGTATATTTCATTGTGGTTACTTTACCCCCTCCCCTTGCCAGATGGCTCCTGGACAGAAGTGTGTCTGCTCACACCATGACTGGATTCCCTCTGGAGTTTTTAACTCTTAGACTTGTTCACACTGAGCCTACAGCCAATTTTCCATTATAATTTTGGTTTGCCTGCTCTGGTACTGGTTTCCACAGAGGTGTCTTTTCTGTTAGGTTATGATTCTCTGTATCTGCCTTCCCATATCCAATATTTGGTTACAAGGGCAGTAATTTGCCCTGTGACCTCACTTCTTTTTTTTTTCCCTTCAAATTTTAATGTGTTTATTTCTACAATTTGTTATTAAAAGATTGTGAAAAAAGGAATCCTATAAATAGTAATAAAAAGGGGGGGGGGGCGACAATCATGTTTCATGGCCGGAAGCAAATGGTGTCAATGTGTTTGTAAACAAGCTCAAGTTGCTCAGACTATTAAAAGGACAAAAATAAAACTAGTTACAGATAGCACAACTGTTCAAGAGGCTGGGAGTGTGGATTTTTGGTGCCCTAAAATGGCCAACAGAATACTTAATTCTCCATTGCAGAGCCTGGGTCACCAGTGCCATCTCGTTCTCCCTATAGAAAACCACACCAGAGGAAGCAAGCACCGTCTCTCTCCTGCCAGAGGGAGAGTCGGTTCTGAGAACAGGGCCACCAATAACACAGCTAGAACCATCAGCTCTCTGGAACATTAGGTGTGAGAGAATTTGAAACAGTCAACATTTTCCTCTACTTTTGCAGGAAAATACTGGAAGTAAATAGGGACATGGAGTTCAACAGCAGGCCAAGGGAGGGGTGTTTTACATTCAGTTGTTTGGAAGCATACTGATTCAGTGCCTCTGAATCTTCTGGTTAGAAAACAGCATTACTCTACCACCTCTTATACTATGACCAAAAAAGTCACTTGAGGGTAATATAGTTTTTGCATTAAAAGTGAATCTGCAACAAGAAATCTGCTCAACTCACAGATCTGGGGACTCACAGGGAAGATAAGCTATAAGTGAGAATATGTCACTGAGAAATGCAGGTGTGAAGTTCTTAGTGGATGTTGCCAGAGTAAACCAGATGTGGCTACTGGGCAAGGGGAGGAAAGAAAATCTTGTCCTCTACATGCAGTTATGTCCTGGGGATGGTCCCCAACTCTGGAAAATTGATTTAATTTTCGCAACGAATTAATCAGGCAGGGCAGCTCACTTAAAAAAGTAGCTCGTCTCTCTAAACCTAGTTTTTGACCAATGACTTGAACTAAAAACAATTCAAACCACTGGGTCATTGCAGTCCAGGAGTTAAAACTATAACAAGGAGCAAAGGGCATAAGGACATAAGTGGAAAGCAAGCCCTATTTACCCAAGGCGAAGGCGATGAGGGGAGAAAACCTCTCATTGTATTTTGTATAGGATGGGAACAAAGGAAGAATATTTTCATTATGGCTTTAGGATGGAAGCGCTTCAGATAGTCCCCTGCTCCCCTCCCCCCAAATCAAAACCCTGGTGGCAGTGACAAAGCCAGAAAACAACCTAGCCTCCCCCGCCCCCATAACCGTGCCCCAGTGGCTGCGGTCTCGTTGCCCGTGCTTCCCAAGGCTCCTGATGAAGCACACCAGCCCACTTCAATAGATCCAATGCCCAGGTGGCCTGGGGGTAGGGAGAGAGCCCTTGTGGTGGGTTGCTGGAAGCCAGGCCCAGATCTGAGTAGGGCAAGTCTTCAGCTCCCCGCTCCTGGGCGCCTGCAGCTTCAAGAGATGACCTTGGGACCTGGATAGGGCTCCCTCTTTCACCAGAAGTCATCGGCTTGAGGGGTCTCCGGGAGCCACAGCCACACCTCTCGGGGCAAGTCACAGGTCAATCCGGAGGCCTCCTTGGCCCCGACGGGGAGCCCCCTGTAATAGTGGCAGTCCCGGTCGTCATTGGGGTCATAGGGCGGGGCCAGAATGTCCAGGAAGGCAGCGGGCCAGTCCACAGCATCGATCTGATGCAGGTTGTCCCAGTGTGGCATGAGGATGCAGGGGCCGCTGGCGAACTGAGCACGCCAGGCCAGAGGGTGTCCCGCTCGCGGGGCTGCAGCGGCAGCTCGAACTGCTGCTCCCGCAGCGGGGCCCGCTGTCATTGCCCACCCGCCTCCAGCTTGTCCATGCAGCTGATACGCATGGTGCCGGTGCTGTTGAGCACCTTGAGCATGCCGTGCATGCCCGGGTAGTCGTGCAGCGGGATGGACGTGCCGCTCTTGAGCAGGAACACGCCGAGGCTGAAGCCTTCCGTCTCGTAGATGTGCATGTAGGTAACGGGTGGCAGGTTGGGTGGCCTTGCGTGGGGCGATATTCAGGTCCTCTGCACGGACCTGGGTTAGCAGGCTCTTCAGCTTGCTCAGGTTCTCCGGGAAGCCCTGCGGCAGCCGCGCCTCAGGGCCTGGCACCACGCCACAATTGGGAAGCGCTGCGTCCGCCCCCTGCGGCCTTGGAAGGTGAGGCACGCCTGGCAGGTGATCCCCTGGATCAGGGAGGCCACGTTGTCTCCAGGTATGCACGGCGGTTCCTCCAAGTGCCAAGGCCGGCCCCCTCCTTTCCTCCACCCCTTGCGGTTATCTGCGGCCCCCAGGGCTGTGCGCACTCCGGGCGGGAGGCTCCGCAACTACCGGCTCCTGGGGCGTGGGGTACCCCGGCCGCTAACCTCTACAGCCGGTGCTCCTGCCTCACGCCCCCTCCGAGGAAGCGGGTGCCCAGCCCATGCCCGGTGGGCCGTGGCGGGCTGTGCCTTATCCGAGGCTCCATTGATGCGACCCGTACCTATGATTATGGACAGGCACCATGACCTCACTTCTTTAATTAAACTAAAGGCTGTCAATTTTTCAGTTTGTTCAGCATTTTATTTGTTGTTAGGATTGAGTGATGAAGCTGGACCACAATCTGGAAGGGTCTGAGATACTACCTTTGAGCTCTAAACTTCCAAGACTTATTCCTTCATAAAACTGATAGGATTTTAATGTAGAAAGTCTGACCCTAAGACTGATAGTTGGATGTATAATAAAACTTTCCTTTCATTTATTTTAAGGGAAAACAGCTTCATAAAAATAAGTGAACTTAGTAAACTAAAAAGGACTTACAGCCTAAAACCTAAACCTATTGCTGTAGAATATTCATTTCTTTGGGATTAGGCAAGACACTTCCCCAGTACCGGTACAGGCTATAAATAGTGTGATTAAAAGTGATGAGATTGATTTCTGCATGTGGTTGAGAGTTTAGATTTCTATATAATGAATTAAGTATGATTTATAGAGAAACTGCAGCTCTATTTCTTTCAATTATCCAGAGTACATGCTGTTTTGAGGGTTTCTTTAATATGAATGTAGTGTGTGTGTGTGTGTGTGTGTGTGTGTGTGTGTTCGAGACAGAGAGAAGGAAACTGAAAGAGTACAAGAATATACAACCCTCCAAATAGAAACATGAAAGCACATTTTTCTATAAATTTCTCTAAAATGGCAAAATCAAAACTGAAAGACAACAACGGAGGAAATGGGTTATAGATCTAAGTAAGTTTGTAATTTCAATACTGTTGTTATAAAACTCCTCAATTATTTCATGAGAAAACAGCAGTCCTCAATCTCAATGTAAAACCTTTGGTGACCAATACATTTTTCTCTCTTCCATAGGCCCTGGCCCTACTCCTAAAAACTGCTCTATAGAAACTACCCATTAAATAGGGTCATGGAAACATGCAGGTAAGACCTACATGCAGAAATTATATTTACAAAGAAGTCCAATCACTTACACTGGCAGATATTTTAGTTTACTTTAGATTCAGGACCTTAAAAATAGTAATGTTAATTAAAAAGCAACTTTTATTAATGAAAAATCAATGAATAAAATTTGCTTTCAAAAGTTTAAAGTTATAAAGCAACAAATTAAGAAATTAAAAATTTAAAACTTCAATTGCTTATCCTCATATTTTAAAATAATTTTTGTTTTCTATAGGCTTTCTATTTTTGGAGGTCAAAATCTCTCTCTTTTAAGTTTAATCATATGGAACATCTAGGGAAAAAATCAAAAAAATCTCACACATATTTGGTGACAATGAGATACTTTAAACTGTTAGTATGAAAGCAAGTTTTATATAACTATTTACAAGGCAACAGATGTTTTAGGAATTGCAACCTAATGTAATAACTATAATATTGCCAGAAATATAATACTCATTTTAGCTAACTTAAAAATAAATGTGGCTGGCTGGTGTAGCTCAGTGGTTGAGTGTTGACCCATGAACCAAGAGGTCTGGTTTGATTCCCGCTCAGGGCACATGCCTGGGTTGTAAGCTCAATCCTCTTTTGGGGGTGTGCAGGAGATAGCTGATCAATGTTTTTCTCTCATTATGTTTTTATCTCTCTATCCCGCTCCCTTCCCCTCTCTCTAAAAAAAATAACATTAAAAAAAATAAATGTGAAAGGTTTTAAATAAAAATGTTTAATCAATGCTATTTCTATTCTATGCAATTTAACATTAAAAGTTATAAAAACATAAAAATATAAACCTCTTAAGCAATTATTTTTTTGACAGATTCAAGGAAAAATTTTTTTTTTGTCCACATATTGACTCTAATCAAGCTGATAATCTCATCTGGGAGTACACAGATTAAACAGTGGTATTGGTTTAATATTTATCAAACACATTTCTTATTTTACATACCATTTGTAATACACTTATTCAATCTTCCTTGTGGAGGAAAAGGATTTTTTGTCACCTGTGGTTTTGTTTCCTCTGTTTCTAAAATGACGATTTTCTTAGTTTCTTCCTCTTCTCCAGTATTATCATCTTTGAGGATCTGAAGTAAAACAAGGGAATATTTTAAGAAATTTACTTTCCATACAAATTTATGAAGGTATAAAGCCACCAAATCTCATAATTTAACTCATATTATTACTGTCAACATGGAGAATTACACACACAAAAGACTATTCATGCTCTATATCAATATATGATATTGACATATGGGGATGTCATAGGTGTACATTTTATTTTGCAGGATACCTTGACTTAGCCTTTTGTAGACTTCAGGCCTGTCATTTTCATTTGTGATTTATATATATGAATAAGTGAGCCTATAGTGTGGATAGAATAACTAAAAGTGTCCCTCCTCAATTTAATTCCCAAAGATTAACAAACTAACTTCTGTGGAATAAAAATACAACTAAATTGGAAAGGAGGTAAAATATAATTTAACATGGACTGATTTCATTTGAAAAATTATGTAACTGAAAGAAAAATTTAAAAGAAACAGACCAAGCCTTCAGAAGGTGAAGGTTCAAGCTTCCACTATTATTTATAGACTAGGGGCCCGGGGCACGAAATGCGTGCACTGGGGAGGGGGGGGGAGGGTCCCCCAGCCCAGCCTGCCCCCTCTCATATACTGGGAGCCCTCAGACATTGACCCCCATCACCCTCCAATCGCCTGATCGGCCCCTTGCCCAGGCCTGAGGCCTCCGGCAGAGGTGTCAAGCCTGGGCAGGGGACCCTCCTCTACCCCCCATCACCGGCTCCGCCCTTGCCCAGGCCTGAGGCCTCCGGCAGAGGTGTCAAGCCTGGGCAGGGGACCCTCCTCTACCCCCCATCACCGGCTCCGCCCTTGCCCAGGCCTGAGGCCTCCGGCAGAGGTGTCAAGCCTGGGCAGGGGACCCTCCTCTACCCCCCATCACCGGCTCCGCCCTTGCCCAGGCCTGATGCCTCTGGCCCAGGAATCATGCCTGGGCAGGGAACCCACATCTACCTCAGATCGCTTGCTCCACTCTCCCGCCCAAGCCTGACACCTCTGCAGGCCTGGGCATGGGACCATCATATCCCCCCAATCCCCAGCTCCGCCCCCTCCGATTGCTGGCTCTGCCCCCCTCCCAGGCCTGATGCCTCGGCAAGAGGAGTTGACCCTCATCACCCTCCGATCACCAATCATCGGATCAGCCCCTTGACCAGGCCTGAGGCCTCCGGCAGAGGTGTCAGGCTTGGGCAGGGGACCTCCAGCTCCCCGCGATCTCCCGCTCTGCCCCTGCCCAGGCCTAACACCCCCGGCCCC